TCATCTCCCAACGAAACTCTGGCACCCAAATCTCTCTGCATTTGCTTTTCTGGGAACCTGAGCTAAGACAAAATGTCACATATGTTTTCTTATAATTTCAAATAGTTTAAAAATAACAGGAATGTATGCTTGTTAATTTTACAGTTGGCTGGGCTGCCTGAGGACCTGGAAGGACACTGGAGAAGTCGAAGCAGAGAGAGTGAGAAGGAGCCAAGTGTGCGCTGGGGCTGGAGAGTTTTGCAAGGGCCAGACCGTAAAGGACTTTGCAGACCTCGTATTAGGGCCCTGGCAGGAAGCAGATGGCACAGCCGGTTGGGCAATGAGGACAGTGCTATGCAGTGACTCTTCCCAAAAGCACGGGCAGGGCTTAGTAAGGACCAGCAAGAAATATTTCCTGGGGCACCAACCAGCAGGGAGCCCTTGGCGACCAAAGCCTGAAGGAGCGGCTGCTGGAATCCAGTTGGTCACTGTGCGCAGAGGGCTGCCTGAGGACAGCCGGGGCTCTCCGCAGAGGGGTGCACCCACCTGCCGTGACCTGGCAGAGAGGGAGCCGGGAGAGAAGCTCCTCACTTGACCCTCTTTCCCCCTTCCAGATCTCCTCCCATTTGCCAAACCCTCCTGGAAGCCAGAGAGCGCGGCAGTCCTTGGTGCTGTCCACACAGGTCGGCCTCCGGAGGTACGGGGGTGGTGTTCAGCCACGGGGAGAGTGAACCTGGGGGGCAGACCGAAGAGCTCTGACTCAGCCACGGACACAGCGTTGGTTTTCTCCTAAGGGCAAGGGTGTTACAGGCTAAAAAGTGTCCCCCACAAACTCGTATATTTAGTCCTAACCTCTAGTGCCTCAGAATATGCCTGTATGTGGAGAAATTACTTACAGAAGTAATTAAGGTAAAATGAAGTGATATGGGGAGACCCTGACTCAAAATGACTGGTACCCTCATAAGAAGAAATTAAGAATCAGGCATCCCCAGAGGGAAGACGGTGTGAGGGCAGAGAAGGGAGCCGTCTACAGCCAGAGAAAGGCCTCAGAAGAAACCAACCCTGCCAACATCTGGTCTCGGTCTTTTAGCCCCCAGAACTGTGAGAAAATTAATTTCCATTGTTGAAGCCCCGGGCACATTCACCGGATGGAAAGTCGCCTAAGGGTTGGGGGCAGGGTGACGTGGTCAGATCTGTGTTTTGGAAAGATGGCCTGGCTGCAGCAGCGAATTGATTGGCAAGTGGCCAGACTACATGCAGAGACACCAAATAGGAGGCTGTTTTAGGATCCAGCTGAGAGAGAAGTAAGGACTCCGCTCCTAGCAGTGGAGAAGGAGAGAAGCGGGTAGGTTTGAGAGATATTCAGGAAATAAGACCAGCAGACTTTGATAATGGATTGGATATCATGAGTGAGGGAGAAGGAGTCATTAGAAAAATATTTATTGATCAAATTTTGATTGAATACCTGCCCTATGCCAGCCACTCTCTCTTTAGATACTGAAGATCTGTATTTTGGAAAGATGGCCAGGCTTTCTCCTAAATTTCCAGGGTGCTTCCTGAAATGGGAGACTGACCCTTAAGATCAGGTTTCCAACCGTTCTCTGACTGATGGATATTTAAATGGTTCTCAAATGAATTTACATGCATATATATATATATATACACACACACATTTGGTGCTATTACAAACAATGATACAACAAGCATTTTTTTATACATGTATTTTGTGTACTTACTCAATTTCCTGAGACTGAAATGACTAGGTCTAAGCACGGAATGGTATGTCAGTAGGTACCGACTGCCACATTGACACCCAAAGAGGCTATGCCAATTTATACTTCCCTTAACAGCCTAAGAGTAGTGCTTGCACAGGAATGATCAATCTTTAAAAATTTCAGTGTGTACACTCTTAGGACTTTTGATAATATACTACCCTGCTATCTGCCAGAAAGATCATATTACTTGCCATTTCCAGGTGCATGCAGTAATTCTAGCTTGGGAATTTTGTGAAGCAGAAGTTACCAATCACTCATCTATAGCCATTAATATTTCAATCAATAGAAATATTTGTATACACATACATATATATAATTTTCTCCCTATATGTACATATGTAAAATATATATAATCCTATGTATTCTCTCTATGTAGAGTGCATTCTATATATCTATTATGTTCTATGTCTCTATCTCTGTGTCTCTGTCATCTATTTATCTACCTAACAAAGAGTAATCAATAGAATCAATGTTAATAGAATGCCCTATGTTAAGTGGTTTGACTTAGAGTACCTTCCAAAGATTATTTCAATAACCAGGCATTCCAGACACGAACTGCTCTGCAGGTTATTATTAATGTTTGCAAAACATGAAGCCTGAGGTTTTGAAATATTTGATCTTGACCCACATTCTCTGCCACCTGTACTTTTTGGCAACCAAACTGTCATTAGCATGCAAGATAACCTTGTCTTCTGCTTTGTCTGAGGGGAACACCTGAAGGTTCATTTTCTGTTTGGCCCCACAGTTCGTTCTCTGCCTTTCTCTTCGTAGCTGGGACCTGCGCCCTTGGCCTCTGGCTGCCCGCTGGGTCAGTTAATGGGAGACACCAGCAGGAGACCAGAGGGTGGGAGGAGAGGGTGGAGGCAGTTACCTCCTCAGGCCCATCTGCAGTCTGGGGCTGGCTGCCTCCCTCTGCATGCACACCTGGGGAAGGCCCCTCTTCCCCTGGCACGTCTCTGCCTGCTTACTTCAGCACACCTGGGGCCTCAGGGGGTCTGGGCTCCTCTCTTTCGGAACATGTGCTCATCTCCCCTTGTAGGTCCCCTAACCCTGCCAACATTTTTGCAAATAGTTCCTTCATTCGCTTCACTTCAGATAAGGCCTTTGGTGCCTCCAGGCCCTGCCTGCTACAGGAGCTCTGCGTTTGCCTCATCCCGAAGGTAAAGGTCAAAGGTAGGGGACCCCGCGAGACATCCCAGTCGACTCTCTCACAGTATCATATCTGGTCCCTCTCTTGATCTGCAGGATGTCTCCAGTGGTCCTGAAGGGAGGCCATGCTTGGGGACAGGCTCCCTGTGAGCCTCAGAGGCTGTCCGGACGCACCATGACGTAGCGGAGGCCATGCGTGGCTTCTCCCCAGAGTCGGCCTGGAAGTGTGACAACATCCACAGCGGAAGATTGGGGTTTGCTAGGTAAACTCCCCGGCAGATCTCCCCCCAGTATGACAGACACAAAACTATGGTCGACAGTGAAATGGCCTGTCCTAAACCTCACTTGCTCTGCATACAGAATATGGACCCCAGAAGCAGGCTTTCAATTTATCAGAAGGGAGCTTTAGCTTGATTACCTTCAAAACTTAATTGCTTATAAGTAAATTTGATTTATTTTTAAATTTACGAATAATTATAGCATCAATGTATACCTTGATTTCCTTTTATTTTTCTTTGTGGTAAGTTCTGATAAGAAATTCACTTTTTAAGATCGAAGGCTGGGGGTGGTGCTGTTGGAAGGCCGGTTCCCTCCCGCGTCTGCTGGTTGATGCCGGCTCGCTGCTGAGCTGTAGCTGGGCTGTGGGCCAGAGCATCTCCATGGAACCTCTCCATGTGTCCTGGGCTAGTTCATGACATGGTGGCGGGTCCCAAGGGTGAGAAGAGAGAGAACAAACCGGGCAGAGGCTGTCTCGTTCATTGACAGTAGTGTTGTCCAGTTCTGTCCAGTAGGAAGGCCGGTCCAGTTCAAAGGGGCAGGGACAGAGCCTATTTCCTCTCTGTGACGCAGTGTCCATGATGTGTGGTAATAAAAGCATGTGGGATGAGATACATATTGGTGCAGCCGTCTTTGGAAGTAAAATCTGCTATGTATGTTTTTGTTTTTCTTTTTTATAGTAAACATTTTTATTTTCTGCTTATAAAAGTAACTTACTAATTGCAAGAAACGTTTTCAGAAAATGCAGAAAAGTATAAAGAAGAAAATAAAGCTTACAAATTATCCCATCATCCAGAAATGGCTGGAGTTAACATTTTTTATACATACACACACATTCTCTTTGAAAACAAAAACTGGATCATAGTGTTCATATTGCTTCCTCATTAAGTAAAATATTGTTGACATTTTTCAATGTCAGTCAGTAGAGTTTTAACTATCACTTAAAAAATAACGATATCTTTTATTGTATGAATATATCATCTCGATTTATCCAGTGTGGTCCCTGTGGTCATTTCTAAATTTTCAACATTTGTCTTTATGTTTATAACATTTATACATATGGTATTTATCATACTGAATGAGATATCCTGCAACTTGCTTTTATGCACTCAAATTATGTTTTCAAGAGCTAAGGTCATATGTGCAGTAATTGTTTTAGCCTCAGTGAGTATTTTATTGTACAATCATATCACAATTTATGCACCCAATTTTCAGCTGCTGGACTTTCAGGTTTTCCCCAATTATGTTACTGTTAACAGTGTGGCAGTGAACATTCTAGCACATGTGCTGTTGTGCATAAAGCGTTCAAGGTTTATACCTAGTTATGGGGCTGCTGATCACGGAGGTATGGTCATTTCCAGTTACACAAGGTAGCAGGAACTGATTATTTTCGTCAACTGATTTACTGGCATTGCCTCCAGTGAGCCTCCAGATCACTGTTGGATCGGACTTCTGAAATTTTCTAACCGGGACTGGCATTCATTAGAGTCCGTGTGCCACATCAGTTTTAAATACATGCTCAGGTACTGTGGAACGGAATGACTAGAATGAATAATTTATAATCAACCGCGAGAATGAGAGAAGACAGACTCTTGACAAGTGTTTTTGTGATGTAATACTTGGGTGTGGTAGTTGAAGATAGTTTAAAAATCTCAGAAATATGAATGTGCCATGTCTTTTTAATTTATTCAAGAAACTCTCATCAAATGTTAAACAACAACAATTTTATGCACCTTTGGCATAAAGTCACCAAAACCAGTCTGATAAAGCCTCAGAGACAGATGGAGTGAAGTCCTTCAGAAGACTGACTTTGTAGGGGAACAAAAGCCCAACTGGGGGCAGAGCAGACAGTCACAGCTGGTTTTAGCGCGAAGAATTTCTCGGCGCTTTCTGCATTGCTTTTGAACAACTTTGCCTTTTGGTTGCAAATGGAGACCGTTATCAAAGCCAGCTAGATCGGGTTACAGGCGGTCCTGTCTTCTGTTCACAATGGCACTTCTGTGCCTTGAAGCCTCCGTTCATGTTTAAATGGACATGAAGGAAGGTATTTACCTCCTTTCGGATGGCTTAGTGTTTTGATTTTCTGACAAGAAGTCGGTGGTATTTCACTTCTATCCTGATCATGTTCTAAACTAAGCAGCTGCATTAGATACAGTTTTAAATGAAATATTCATCATATGGTCTGGCGCCAGTTAAGATTCTGTTTTTAATATGTTGCAGTTCCTTTCTGAAACCACAGAAGAAGACAACCCAAAGTCCCGCTCCGTGTTTCTGCTGGTCTTCTTTTGAAGGTAAGAAAGAAGATTTCTGTTAGGCTGCTGTTTCTATTTTGAATGGAAATAATTTCACTGTCGTATTCCAGCCCTGAAAAAGAAACCAGATCACCTCTAGTTAAGGGTTCTTGGCTAGCCAAGTGAATCCTCTCGGACTTTGGGTCCCCGGTGTGCATGACTGGGCTACTGGATTCTTTATGAGCAGCTAGCCTCTGGGAGCGAAATGGAGCTGCTGGGAAAATGTGAAAAAAAATTCCAAAGTGGAAAATTACCCCACAAAGAAGTGGCTTGTAACTTAAGATATGATGTCACCACCTGAGTTCCCATAATTGCATTTGTGATTGACCCTGTGTGAAGATCCACTTTGATGCTTTCAAAGCTCTTTTTGTGTGTTTAAAGACTCTTCCTACTTTATAAACAATGATTACAAATAAAAATGATTGATGATTATAAACTTTGAAAGCAAGCATGAAGGATGACATCTAGAAAACTGCAGCATTTTCTCAAAATTTGTGTTTCTGAGTCTCTTTTGACTGACTCGTCGTAGAAGCAAATTTTCCAGACAACAGTAATAATGAGAAATCTTGAAGAAATCAAAATAAATAAACAAAAGCTTCTTTTCTTAGACATATGCACCCCTATGTTTATCACCCCACTATTTGCAATAGCCAAGATATGGAAGCAACCTAAGTGCCCATCAGTAGATGAATGGATAAAGAAGATGTGGTACATAAATTCAGCCATAAAAAGAAAAGAAATCCTGCCATTTGCAGCAACATGGATAGATCTAGAAGGTGTTGTGTTCAGTGAAATAAGCCAGGCAGAGAAGGACAAATACCGTATGATTTCACTTATTTATGGAATATGAAAACAAAGCAAAACAGAAGGGACAAAACAGCAGCAGACTTATAGACACTGCGAAGGGACTAGTGGGTACCAAGGGGGAGGGGCTGGGGTGGGGAAGAGGAGAAGGGGGATAAACGGGCACGATAATTCGCAATCACAATGTACGCTGGTCATGGAGCTGGTAGTACAGCACGGAGAATACAGTCAATGAGTCTGTAACATCTGACCTCGTTGACAGATAGCGGTGGTGAAGATTTAATAAAATGGGTAACTGTTCACCCACTGTGTTGTATATTTGAAACCATCATAAGATTATATATCAGCGATATTTTAATTAAAAAAATGAAATGCTACAAGCAGTGTAAACACCACAAGCGTCATCATGAATGAATCCTGCAGACATAATGTTGGGTGAAAAAAGGCGAGTCAAAAAATCAGACAACCTATAAAATACCTTTTTATGAAGTTCAAAACCTAAACTAAACAATATATGCATATGTGGTAAAATATAAAGGCAACAAGGGGATAATAAATAAAAATTCAGGGCGGGGTCACTACGGGTGGCGAGAAGGATGCCCTTGGGGAGTGGCTTCCAGGGGCTCCAGATGTATCCTTAGTGTTCTAAGCTCGATGCTGGACACATAAGACCTCATTTTATTTTTATACCTTATATGCACATTTTTACATATATATGTTCCATATTTGTGAAATACAAAATCTTACAATAAAAATTTAATCAAAACCAAAAAGAAAGCTTCTTTTTTTTTTATAGAAAAAAAGTTTTTTTAGAGGCAAAATAAACGTAACACAAAATTTACCATCTTAACCATTTTGAAGTGGGTAGTTCTGGGGCATTAAGTACATCTGCATTGTTCTGCAACTACCACCAGCACCCACCTCCAGAATTTCTTCATCTTGTGCAACTGGAACTCTACCCATTACGCAGTAACTCTTCAGGAGCCCTGGCCCTGGCAACCAGCATTCTACTCTCTGTCTGTGAATTTGACTCTTCTAGGAACCTTATATAAACGGAATCATACACTATCTGTCCTTTTACGACCGACTTAATTCATTTAGCATAATGTCTTCAAGGTTGATTCATATTGTACATGTGTCAAACTATCCTTCCTTTTAAAGGCTGAAAAATATTTCACTGTATGTAAATACCACATTTTGCTTATCTGTTATTCATTGATGGACACTTGAATTGCTTCTGTCTTTTGATCCTTGTAACTAATGATGTTATGAACACAGTGTACAAATATCTGTTGGAGTTCCTGCTTTCAATTCTCCTGGGTATATACCCAAAGTAGAAGTGGAAATGTTGGATCATGCAGTAGTTCTATGTTTAATTGAGGAATCATACCATTTGCCATGGTGGCTGCATCATTTCACATTCCCACCAATAGTGCACAAAGGTTCCAATTTCTCCACATCCTTGCCAACACTTATTTTCTCTCTATGTGTGTGTGTGTGTGTTTGCTAATGATGGCCATTCTAATGAGTGTGCAAAGTCATGAAAATCTTTAATGTCAACACATGCATAGATATATTATCCTCTTGAAAGCTTGTTTTTAGCTTTTCACTATGCAAATGAAGCTACGATCAATGAAATTTTGTATGTACACCTTTGTAATTGGGGTTAATTCTAAGCTTGAATATATTACAGAAAATTAAGGTACTAGATTAAAGTATATACATTTACAATGTTTCCTGTCATTGACAGAGTTTCTAATTTCTCACTAACAAAGACCAGATATTAGCAATTAAAGATTTTAATTTGCCAATATGATGGTCAACAAGTGATATCTCATTGTATTTGTTGTATTCCTCAGTTTCCAGTGAGCGTTAAGGTGTTTTTATCTTTTTACATCAACCCCACAATCAAATGAATTGAACATCGCAGATGAGTGGTCTCCTGAGAAGACAGGTTCTATTACCAAATGAAGAGTGAATACACACCACACATGCAAAAGCAACGTATTTTTATAGTTTTAATTTTCATAGTTTAACATTTGATTCACCTAGAATTTATTTTAATGACTTTATTTTTTCCAGATGGTTAGCTAGTTATCATAACACTATTTGCGGGGTATTTCATCTTTTCCCTGCTGATTTTAAATGTATCCTTTGCTATACTGCAAATTGTGCATACTTGACTCTTTTTGGAGTACCTGTTTTATTCTACTGATTTGTCTGTCCATTCTTGTGCGAGTACACCACTGCTTTGATTACCTTAGCTTTAGAATATACTTCAATTGCTGATAGGACAAGCCTGTTTGTTTTTCTATTTTTTCCAGAAATTTCTTGCTAGTCTTACATGTTTATTCCTCTAGAGAAGTAATTCTCAACCTTGACAACATATCATAATAATTCAAGGAGCTTTAATAGACACTGATAACCTTCTCCCACTCCCAGCGGTCCTGGTTTAATTGCTCCAGGGGTGCAGCCTGGGAACAGAGAGTTTTAATAGCTCCCCAGATGATTCTAATGTGTAGCCAAAGTTGAGTACCACTTTGCAAGATGAGCTTAAAAATTGTTTTGTTTCATTTCTCGTTTTGATTTGTATTGTATTGAATGTATTGAATTACAGATTAGTTTAGAGATACTTGTCCTTATAATACTGTGTCTTTCTATTTGATTCAGTTAGAATTTTTTTGGTTGAAAAATATCAGAAACAGACTTTGACTTTAAGAAAAAAATATAATCAAGGAATTTCTGAAAGGACTTGAGGTGGCTTATACATGTAAGGGAAGCTAAAGGACTAGTAGCTGTTTCAGATATCGGGGCTTGGATGTTAGGGGTAGGGGAACACAGAGAGAAACAATGACATAGATAACAGAAATGGAGATGCCACACACACATGTGAGCAAGGTGTTTCTCTTCCTCTATATTTTTTTCAGTGTTCCTTGGTGTTTTATAGTTTTCTTACTTAATTTTTTTGTGTTATCTTTGTCTGGTTTTGTTAGCAGGGTAATGCTGACCTCATAAAATGAGTTTGCAAGTGTTCCTCTTTAATTTTTTGGAAACATTTGAGAAGGGCAAATATTAAATCTCTGAATGTTAGATTTCACCAGTCAAGCCATCTGGTCTTGGATTTTTGTTTGCTGGGAGGTTTTTGATGACAAATTCAATCTCTTTACTAGTAATTAGTTGATTCACATTTTTTGTATCTTCATGGTTCAGTCTTGGAAGATAGTAAGCTTCTAGGAGTTTATCAATGTCTTCTAGGTTGTCTGATTTGTTGGCATTTGTGGGCAGGCAATATATATTTTTTATAGTAGTCTCCTATGATCCTTGCATTTCCATGGTGTATATTGTAACTTGTCCTCTTTCATGTCTGATTTTATTTATTTGAGCCCTCTCTTTTTTTCTTGAGAAGTCTAGCTAAAAGTTTGTCGGTTTTGTTAATTTTTTTTCAAATAACCAGCTCTTAGTTTCATTGATGTTTTCTATTGTCTTTTTATTCTCCTTTCATTTTTTCCCACTACAATCTTTATTATTTCCTTCCTTTTACTAACTTTGAGCTTCATTTATTCTTCTTGTTCTAGTTCCTTCAGGTATAAAGTTAGATTGTTTATTTCAGATTTCTTTACTTTTTTAAGGTAGACCTATATTGCTATGAACTTCTCTATATAGCAAAACTGATTTTGCTCTATCCCATAGCTTTTGGTATATATATTTCTGTTTTCATTTGTCTCTAGGTATTTTTTAAATTCTCCTTTGATTTCTTCTATGACCCAGTAGTTGTTCTGTAACATGTTAGTTAATCTTCATATATTTATATTTTTTTCCAGTTTTCTTCTTGTAATTGATTTGTAGTTTTGCACCATTGCAGTCAGAAAAGATGTTTGATATGATTTTAGTCTTCTTGAGTTTAATAAGACTCATTTTGTGGCCTAACATGTAATCTTTCTTGGAGAATGTTCCACGTGTACTTGAGAAAAATGTGCATTCTGCTGCTTTTGTATGGAATGTTCTGTATATACCTGTTAAGTCCATCTAGTCTAATGTGTCACTTTTAGCAAATGTTTCTTTATTATTTTTCTGCCTGGATGATCTGTCCATTAATATAACTGGGGTGTTAAAGTTCCCTACTATTATATTATTGCCATTAATTTCTCCCTTTGGCTTTGTTAATATTTGCTTTGCTTTATATATTTTGGCGTTCCTATGTTGGGTGCATATATTTATAAATGTTCTCTCTTATTGATGGAATGACCCCTTTATCATTATGTAATATGATGACAGAGAGCCCTTTGCCTTTTACTACAGTCTTTGTTTTAAAGTCCTTTTTGTCTAAGATGATCGTAGCTACACCAGCTTTCATTTTGTTGCCATTTGCAGGCAATGTCCTTTTCCAGCCCTTCAGTTTCTGTCTCCGTGTGTCTTTTCTTCTGAAGTGAATCTCTTGTTGGCAGTATGTAGATGTGTTTTCTTAACCTGACCTTATTTTTTTAAGTCCTCAGGGGATTTTTGCATACAATAATGAAATGCTAAGGCATTGTGTTTATGTCGCCTCCCAGAAACACCATCATAAATGGGGCAAAATTATCTTTTAGTGTTTTTGATGCTTTGTAAGCAATACCAAATCATATACCAATCCCTCTTCCATCTCCACCCAAACTCACAAACATTGTGAGTAGCTCTTTTCCTTATTATTACCTCTCTTGTTTCCTTCAGCTCTTTTCCCTGTTGCTCAGAATTCCCCAGAAACGTTTGTACAGGAGCCTTCAGTGCCCCGGGAATAGGAAAGGCAGTCTTGTCTCAGCCCAGGGGGATGTTGTCAGCACCACGGACAGTAGCCCCTAAAGCTAGCCTTTTATTGAGGGTACATCTCACCGATGAGCAGTATCTTTGAAGGTCTTTATCAACTCATTCCTCTTCTCTTCCTATCCTTCTACTTTTTGAGATAAATTACTTTAATTTCTTCAAATTTTCAGAACAGGCAAGATGAGTCTACATCTCAGTCATCTGTGAGGCTGACAAGCCCGGGCTGACAAGCCCACTAACAAGTCTGAGGTCGGACCACCACTCGGCCCTCGGGTTCAGAGAACAAGCATAGAAAAAGCAATGGTGCAGGACAGGTAAGCAAGAGAAAATTCCTCCTCTCTTCCCTTGCAGGGGCCCAATTCATTATATTCTTAAGGGGTTAGTGTCCCCCAGAATGCAACACTCTTCACAGTTCCTATTTTCTGGTTAGGAAATGTTTGTCTTAACTTTAAATCCATTAAAAATTAGCTCTGCGGTCTTAATAAATCATGTACAATCTCTGTCTAATCTTATGGAGGAAAACTGCACAGTACTTATTTAAAAAAGTTTTTTTGTAGTCAGTTTAATTTGTTGATTTGAGAGAGGTCTGAATTCTAAATGTAGGGTTTTTAAAATTGAAGTGTTGTTGATAAACAATCTTATATTGGTTTCAAACATGCAACACAGTGGTTCAACAGTTCCCCGTGTTATTAAATCCTCACCCCCTCTAGTGTGGTTACTATATATCAACACAGAAAGATGCTACAGAATCATTGACTACATTCTCCATGCTGTACTACTGTCCCCATGACCAGCTTATATTGTTATTGTGAATTTTTGTGCCCTTTTATCCCCCTCATTTTCCCCACCCACCCATCCCAACCCTTCCCCCATGGAAACCACTAGTCACTTCTCAGCATCTATGAATCTACTGCTTTTTTGCTTTGTTTTTAGATTTCACAAATAAGTGAAATCATTTAGTATTCGTCTTTCTCCACCTAGCTTATTTCACTGAGCATAAAACAGCTCCATTCATGTTGTTGCAAATGGTAGGATTTCTTTTTTTATGGCTGAATAATATTCCATTGTGCATATGTACCACATCATCTTTATCCATTCATCTACTGATGGACACTTAGGCTGCTTCCATATCTTGGCTATTGTAAATAATGTGGTGATAAACATACAGGTGTGTATATCTTTTCAAATCAATGATTTTGTTTCCTTGGGCAAATTCCCAAGAATTCAAGGAGAATACAGTTAATGATTTTGTAACTTCTTACTACATTGATAGATAGTGACCTCACCAGAGGGGGTGAGGATTCAATAACATGGGTAACTGTTGAACCACTGCTTCGTATATTTGAAAAATTTCCATGCATATCATTAAGCAAAGAAAAAAGCTAGGTCAGAAAAATGAATATATTAAGATATTTATGTAAAAGGGAGGAAAATCATGTGTAGCTATATATGCTTGCTTAAGCAAACAAGATCACCAGGTGGAAATATAGGAACCAGGAAATAACAATACATACAATGTTTATTTCTATATTTTAATAATATATGGACACTCTTCAAGTTCTACCTGTGCTTCTTAAATTTTGGAGTGTAGAACTGGACATAATGCTCAGATAAGGATAATATAAATTTACTTAAATAGTTGTGAAGGATTGTACAGTTTATCATTGTGGTAGCTACTGTGTAAAATAACTTTTTTCTATGCTTTTTATTGTACTATTTCTCTTCATGCAGGTCAATATAATTGTTCTCTTTTAATATTTGGTACTTCATAGCTGCTTTAGAAGCGGGAGAAGTGAGCTCACGGTGACTGCGAAGGGCCTAATGAGATCAGCAAGGGACTTGTAGAAAACTGGTGTCTGAGAAAAGGAAAAGAAACAGCCAGAGAGTTAAAAAGCCAGGGTAACCCACGAGTCACTGGAGTGGAAATTCCTTTGTTCAGTATTTAGAAGGAAGAAACACTATGTTTTCTGGGGGAAAAATCCTTTGGGTCCTGTACAACACATTAAAAAAATAATTAAAAAAGCCAGTTTAGAAGGGCTTCTTGTCAGACTTATAAGCAAGGAGGAGATTCAAAAGGTGGTTGAATATAATATCCCAAAGGGGAGTGTTAAAAAAGAACCCCAGCTTTCCACATTCCATGCGTCTCCTGAGACCATCCACACCTCGTTAAATATGGGAACAAGCGTGAGACTTGGCACCTCTGTCGGGACTTCTGGCCTCACCTGGTAGAAAAATGGTGAGAGATTTGTGGCTCTTTGTGACGCAGACCTCAGGATAACATGAACCAAAGTAAAGCTCCTCAGCGTCCACCAAGGCAGAAAGCCATAAAGGAGGAAAATAAACCCACACTCTCAGTTTGATTTTTTTCTCCTAATGAATATTTTTCCTCTGCACAGTTTATGCCAAGAAAATTCAGTTTGTTCTTAGAATGTCCTCTCCTTTTCTCACCCTCCTGTCCCTCCCCCTTCTCTTCCTTCTCCTCCTTCCATATCCAGAGTTGGCAAACTTCTTCTGTAAAGAGCCAGAAAATACAGTATTGCAGGCTTTGCATGCAGCCTTCCTCCGCCGCAGTGCAAAAGCAGGCGCAGACGCTGCAGAAACGAATGGGTGCAACTGTGTCCCAGTACCTGGTCCGGTAAACAGCTTGTGGGCCAGATTTGGTCTGCAGTTGTGGTCTCTCTGCCCTTGTTCTATGCTGTAATAGTTTAAAGCTCGCAGGAGAGATACAGTCATCAATAAATGTTTGGGACAACAGGGTATCTATCTGGAAGAAAATAAATAGGCCTCCACAACTCATAATTCTTTGAAAAGATCACTGACTTAAGTGTGAAAAATATAAATAATAACAATATTAGAATAAAACAAGGGAAGATTACTTTAACATCTCAAAATAGGGCAAAACCTTTCTAACTATGAAAATCATTTTTAAATGATAGAGTCAACTACATTACATTTTTTTGCATAGAAACTATGAGCTCAGTCATAAGGCAAATAACAAGCTGGAAAAATATTTGCAGTTTAGGTCACAGGTAATGGGAAAACCTCCTCAGCACATGGATTTCTATAGGTCAGTAGAAAAAAAGCCACCCAATGGAAAGGTTTGATTAGAATCCACAGAAAAGGAAATATAAAGAATTTGTTAAATATTTTTAAAGAAATGTTCCACATTATTCATAATAGGAGACGCACACATTTAAATTATACATACATACATTTTTCACATATCAGACAGGCAAATTTCCAGATATCTGGTAAAACATTGGGCTGGGAAGACACTCTTTATATTGTTGATGGAATATAAATTGCTGCAATTATGAAGGGCAATTTGGCAACATCTGTCAAAATTTGAAATGTACATCTTTAACAGCAATTATTTTAAAGAGTTTATCCTATAGATAAATCTGGGTATATGCAAAATAATGTCTATAAATGTTAGTTTTTATTGTATTTCTTATAACAGAAAAAAAGGAAATAACCTGTAGGTTCGCCGATAGGGGACTGGCGAAATCTATTATGGTTCGTCTACCATGGAAAACCATTCAGCTGTAAAGAAGTAAAAAATCTCCTCATGTTCTGATATGGACTGATCTTTGACATTTTTACTAAAAAAAGGAAATCTGCAGAGTAGTATGCTTCTAATTGTATAAAAGGAAGGCAGAATACACGTTTGTACCTGTTTGCATGAAGTCCCTGGAAGGATGAACAAGAAATTAGAGTGCCTTCCATTCTGGAAGGGAGGTGAGAAGAATTGGATGGATGGATGATCGAGGTAGAAAGGAGACTCCTAGTGTATGCCTGTTTATTCTTTTTGATTTTTAAACCACTTAACACCATTATTAATAGTCAAGAAATGTCAGTAAGAACCATCCCAAACTTGTCCTTGAGCACACGTGCGCCCGCGTGTGAGTGCGTGCGCGCGCGCGCGCACACACACACACACACACACACACACACACACACACACAACTTTGTTACCGGCTTCAGAGTCATAGATACTATAGTATTTTGGGTGTGCTAACAGTAAATCTGTAAGTAGTAAATCTTGAAAAAATTTCCTACTGTTTGTTGGAAAGATGATTAATTAGGATGATAAACTGTCTTATTATATGGCCTCTAATTAGTCCATCAGAGTAGCCACAAAGAAGACACTTTCATTAGCCATTGTGGTGTAAAGGGGACTGGGGCTGCCTTGGGAAGCAGTGAGTTCCCCACCTCTGGGCTTGTTCAAACACACGTGGCACAATAATGGTATGGGTGGGGGGCGGGGGAAGGGCTACTGTAGAGAGGGTGGGAACTCTAAGGCACTTTCTCTGTCCCAATTCTGAGATTCTTTCATTATAAAGAAAAGGGTGCTGGGAACACCAGTCATTTTATCGGGAGTGGTAATATTCTTTGAAAAAAGAAAAGGTGGGGATTTATGCACTTTAGAAACTAGCTTGAGAATTACAAAGAAGGAAACAGTGATGGGAGGGGAGCCGAGGCTAGCTGGGGATGGAGTGGTCCGTGAGCCAAGCCAGGTTGGCGGGAGGACCCAAACCCACGGGCAGGCAGATATTCACATCAGGCTCAGTAGCCCCAGAATGTGAGGGGATGCAGGCCTCAGCCGTTTGCTGGCAGAACAGCACAAGACAGTCCAGGTGGTGTCTCCCAGGACACCATGCAACGTGCAGATGTGCGGTCATTTTCTTAAGGAAATGGCTAGAAATTACTGATGCCCATTTTCAGATCATCCTTGTCTGTTCAGCTGGTGAAATACCTGGTAGCTAATGCCTTCAAGCACTCTACTTGGAAATCCGCTTTAGCTGATGTTCATACCTTAGGGGATATGGCATTGGATATGGTACAAGACAGTAAATGTTTAATGAGGATAATGCTGAGGAAATGCAATGCTCCAATAAGGAGAATTTGGGAAGATGACAGAGGAATGGAAAGTGAATGCTCAGAAACCCTTCCCCACCTTCTTTCCTGTCTCTACTCCTATCTCCTTCCTTTTTCCTTTTTAAAAAGCTGTGCCTGTAGGCCTCCTGAAGAAATGGTACAGTAGTGGTGCTCGAAACAGGTAAAAGCTTCACAGTCACGTGTGTTATTCCTTCTTAGTATTCCCTCAGTATGAGTGAAATAATGATACCCCTTCCTCTCTTGATGCTGAAGGTAAGGGATAATCAGAGATGTTAAAGCCCCTGGCAAAGTTGCAATTAGATACTAGGAATGTTTCATGTAGTCAGGGGGCTACAAGAGATTTTGAAGGACTATAAAATTAATCGTGATGGTTAATTAAGTTGTCTGGGCCATGGTACCCAGATATTTGGTCAAA